ATTGTCTTTTCATAATTCATTTTTGCTTTTAACTTTTTAAAAAAATTTAATTATATTTTAAGTTCCAGGACACATGTGCAGGACATGCAGATTTGTTACATAGGTAAACATGTGCCATGGTGATTTGCTGCACCTATCAACCCATCACCTAGGTATTAAGCCTTGTATGCATTAGCTATTTATCCTGTTGCCCTCCCTCCCCACATCACTGCCCCCCACCGCCACCACCACCTGCAGATCCCAGAGTTTGCTGTTCCCCTCTCTTTGTCTATCTGTTCTCATTGTTTAGCTCCCACTTATAAGTGAGAACATGTGGTGTTTGGTTTTCTGTTCCTGCATTAGTTTGCTGAGGATAATGGCTTCCAACTCCATCCATGTACCTGCAAAGGACATGATCTAGTTCCTTTTTATGTCTGCATAGTATCCCATGGTATATATGTACCAAATTTTCTTTACCCAGTCTATCACTTAAGCACTGATGGGCATTTGGGTTGATTCCATGTCTTTGCTTTTGTGAATAGTCTGCAATTAACATACATGTGCATGTATCTTTATAATAAAATAATGTATATTCCTTTGGGTATATACCCAGTAATGGGATTGCTGGGTCAAATGGTATTTCTGGTTCTAGGTCTTTGAGGAATCACCACACTGTCTTCTACAATGGTTGAACTAGTTTACAGTCCCACCAACAGTGTAAAAGTATTCCTATTTCTCCATAGCCTCGCCAGCATCTGTTGTTTCTTGACTTTTTAATAGCCATTCTGACTGGCACGATATGGTATCTCATTGTGGTTTTGATTTTCATTTCTGTAATGATCACTGATGTTGAGCTTTTTTTCAAAAGTTTGTTGACTGCATAAATGTCTTTTGGGCTGGGCACAGTGGCTCACGCCTGTAATCCCAGCACTTTGGGAGGCCAAGGTGGGTGGATCACCCGAGGTCAGGAGTTCGAGACCAGCCTGGCAAACATGGTGAAACCCTGTCTCTACTAAAAATACAAAACATTAGCCAGGTGTGGTGGCACATGCCTGTAATACCAGCTACTTGGGAGGCTGAGGCAGGAGAATCGCTTGAACCTGGGAGGTGGAGGTTGCAGTGAGCTGAGATCCCACCATTGCACTGCAGCCTGGGCAACAAGAGAGAAACTTCATGTCGAAAATAATAGTAGGTCTTCTTTTGTGAAGTGTCTGTTCATGTCCTTTGCTTACTTTTTAATGGATTTTTCTTGTAAATTTAAGTTCCTTGTAGATTCTGGATATTAGACCTTTGTCAGAGTGATTGAAAAAATTTTCTGCCATTCTGTAAGTTGTCTGTTTGCTCTGATTTCTTTTGCTATGCAGAAGCTCTTTAGTTTAATTAGATCCCATTTGTTGATTTTTACTTTGGTTTCACTGCAACCATAATATTGGTTGCAAAGCAGAATGTTTGCTTTAGACGTTTTTGTCATGAAATCTTTGCCTGTGTGTATGCCCGTGGTATTGTCTAGATTTTCTTCTACGGTTTTTATAGTTTTGTTTTACATCTAAGTCTTTAGTCCATCTCGAGTTAATTTTTGTATAAGGTATAAGAAAGGGGTCCAGTTTCAGTTTTCTGCATATGGCTAGCCAGTTTTTCCAGCACTGTTAATTATACAAGGAATCCTTTCCTCATTGCTTGTTTTTGTCAACTTTGTCAAAGATCAGATGGTTGTAGATGTGCGGTCTTATTTCTGAGATCTCTTTTCTATTCTGTTGGTGTATGTATCTGTTTTTGTACCAGTACCATGCTGTTTTGGTTACTGTAGCCTTGTAATATAGTTTGAAGTCAGGTAGCATGATGCCTCCAGCTTTGTTCTTTTTGCTTAGGATTGTCTTAGCTATACGGGCTCTTTTTTGGTTCCATATTAATTTTAAAGAAGCTTTTTCTAATTCTGTGAAGAATGTCAGTGGTAGTTTGATGGGAATAGCATTGAATCTATAAATTACTTTGGGTAGTATGGCCATTTTCACAATAATGATTCTTCCTATCCATGAGCATGAAATATTTTCCCATTTGTTTGTGTCCTCTGATTTCCTTGAGCAGTGGTTTGTAGTTCTCCTTGAAGAGGTTCTTCCCTTCCCTTGTTAGCTGTATTCCTAGGTATTTTATTCTCTTTGTAGCAATTGTGAATGGGAGTTGATTCATGATTTGGCTCTCTACTTGTCTACTGTTGGTGTATAGGAATGCTAGCAATTTTGCACATTGATTTTTATATCCTGAGACTTTGCTGAAGTTGCTTATCAGCTTAAGAAACTTTAGGATTGAGACAATAGGGTTTTCTAGATACAGGATCATGTCATCTGCAACCAGAGACAGTTTAACTTCCTATGTTCCTATGTGAATACCCTTTATTTCTCTCTTGCCTGATTGCCCTGACCAGAACTTCCAATACTATGTTGAATAGGAGTGGTGAGAGAGGGCATCCTTATCTTGTGCCAGATTTCAAGGGGAATACTTCCAGCTTTTGCCCATTCAGTATGATATTGGCTGTGGGTTTGTCATAAATGGTCCTTATTATTTTGAGGTATGTTCCATCAATACCTAGTTTATTGAGTTTTTAACTTGAAGGGATGTTGAATTTTATTGAAGGCCTTTTTCGCGTCTATTGAGATAATCATGTGGTTTTTGTTTTTAGTTCTGTTTATGTGGTGAATTTATTCATTTGTGTATGTTGAATCAGCCTTGCATCCCAGGGATGAAGCCAACTTCATTATGGTAGATACTGTTTTTTAAAAAACTTCTTAACATTAATATGGAATGTATTGGGGGCTATTTGAGACAGATATTAAGATAGATTTTGGCTATCTCAGATGTGAATGTCTATTTTAGGTAGGATTTAACATAACTTTCCCCAGTTAAATGCCCAGTAACAATACTTATTTCCTTTGTGCATGGCACCTTATCATATACCAGTCTTTTGATGCCCATATCTCATTTTAATTAAATATCGGGTACAGTGAATGCCTTCTCATGATTACTCTTTTGTAAAATTTCTTAGCTAGTTACCTATTTATTTGTCCCAACAAACTTTAAAAACACTATTAAGTTCTCCCCGTTTTCTCCAATCTATACATTAGGATTTGCTTGAAATTTCATTAAGCCTATATATTCAACTGAAAAAAAAAACTATATATTTTGTACATTTCCTGCTGAAGTTTTACCTAGGTATTTCATATATTTTGTTTCTGTGAAATATTTTTTCACATAATTTTGAGGTGAAAGACATTCTTAATGGACTTCCATTGTACAACCAGCATGCTTCAACTCCAGTTTGACTTATTCCGTATGTGGATAAATATTTATGAGTACTTTGCTTCACAGACATAAATGAACTTAGCTGGTGCTTGAGAATACTAAGGGACACACAGTTGGGGCAGACCAACTTTCTAGTTTTGAAAGGAACAGGAAAAAGCCACTGGTTACTCATTTTACTCTAACGTGCACAATTGTATAGGTGAAACTAACTTTTTTTTTCTAACTTTTTTTTTTTTTAACTGGAGAGTGTGAAAGATAAATTGATGGACCAACGTCTGTCATGACAAGTGAATGGTGACTTCTGAAGACAGTAGGGAACCCTGAGTAGCTAACTGTTCCCAATACTATTTAAGCTTTATGCGTCTTGTCTACCTAATTGACAATCCATTTTGGCATAAGCAAGATGAATAATAGACACATTTCTCCCATGTGAATTAAATTTAAAATTAAGACTCTAAGTAACTGGTATCTATACCAAAGATCGTTATAAAACTGGCCTCCATGTCCTTGGTCCCAGTGTACCCTGTTGTCCTTGGAGGAGGCACACACATCTGTCATTCACTTGCCTGCAGTTTCTGAGGTGGCGGGATGCCAGCCCTGGCCAAGTGTTCACAGTGTAGAGTGCTTTAGACTCTTCTGAAATGAAAGTCAGTATGTAAATGTGCAACATGACATTATTATTCTAGCTTCCTGGCTGCTTTCAGCAAGCACTGACTGCCACATGAGGTCTCAAGTGTTCTGGCATAGTGTGCAAGTGTTCAAAAGAAGTTAAAGTAATGAAATTGGATCTACATTTCCATAGATATTCAAGCTGGCATGAAGGAATGGAGTCATAGAATCAGGGTTGGATGGTCTCCACCAAACAGCCTAGGCAAGTGCCTGTGATGCCAGGCTACTAAGCAGAATTTTCAATTGTGAAAGGCCACCACTGTTTCTTCCTTTGAGTCTAAAATTGCAAAATATGCACATTTCTCCTAAGGTCACTCCACTCTCTAGGTGCTTAAATTTAATGCTCAATCTCTGCCCATCCATGACCTGGAGCACACCAGCTTTGCTTAAATTCAGTGTTTTAAAATGAACTAAGCACCAAAAAGGGGAAAAAATGTTTAGTTAGAACCTAATACAGCATATACTACTGTATAAAATATATGACTATTATTTTTAAGAAGGAGGTCAGGCTTAGTTTGTATATGATCTAAGTAGTATCCACATAGTAGATTCCGGGTTTTGGTGGTGTTTTTTTTTTTTTTTTTCAGTTTTCATTGCTCACAAATCTCAAGTGCATCCAGCATTCTCTGCTGCTGAAATATCTAGAGCCACAACAAAAGTTAGGTTTATGGGCGGTGGGGTCAAGAAACTGGGTCCGCTAAGGTATGTCTCGGTGAATCCAGAAGCACTGTAGAATCCGGGTTTGGTAATTCTGGGACCTCCCCTCTCTCTTATACCTTCCTCCCCCAAATGTATGTTCTGCTCATCAGAGCAAGAGCAAAGGAACCCGAGGCTCTTGCTTTGCAGCTATCTTTGTAAGTACAAATCCATGACGCTGGGTCCCCTTTCTCCTCATGTTCCTTAAAATCCTGATATTTTCATGGGTTCCAATTATCCATTTATATACACACAAAAATGAAGTTAAGTTTAAAAATGCAAGAGAGGGACAACAGAAATAATTCAAGCAATGAAGAATACCTTTACTCATACAGAATTTCTTTTTTATTGCATTTTAGGACAGTGAAAAAAAGGGATTTATAAATAAAATCTATGCCATCCAGGAGGTTTGTGTCAGTGTCCAGAACATCCTAGATGAAGTGGCTTCCTTTGGCGAAAGGATAAAGAAGTGAGTGACGGTGACATGTGAGCCCCGGTCTTCTGTGGGACAGGGTGTCCATTTGTTTCTCGAAGGGTGAAATGCCACATTCTTTTTGGCAGGGGACACTCCTTCTGGGTGCTCTATTGCTCAGTTTCATCATTATTTACTTTATTTCTGCCAGTCTTTGGCTTTATGAAAGTTCTGTCAATTTCCTTCCTGAAATTTAGAACATATTGGTTGGAAAGAAGTCATACTTGTAGCTTTGAAGAAATAACACCGTCCTAAATTTTAGCACATTTTTCACTGTGAAAGACTTTGTTCTTAAACGGAATATGAAATTGTGATAGGAAAAAAAATCAAGCTAAATGAGGACTTCAGGTAATTAAGATACACCTGCATTTTATTATTGGTCTAGTTATATTTTCATCAAGTGACAGTAAATTTTTTCAAAATTGTATTTATGGTACCCTGCAAAAGTATTTTTTTCAAGTTTGTATTTAAATAGCTGAGATCCATAATTATCAATAAACTAATGCTCTTTCATTTAGAAAATACAATTTTTAAAATTATAAAAACAGCATTCCTTTTCCTTGACTTTAAAATTAAGAAATAGAGCTTCACTGAGCTCTAATGCAAAATTAAGAAACTTACATTCTTAATCTTATATACTTATGTTTTATCTAAAACAATGTTTTTTTAAAAAGTGTATTTACAACAATTATTAGTTAAAAGACATACTAAGACCCTCATACTTCTAAATTATGTAAAAATTGGCCTACATAATGATTGCTAATGGTCTATTCAAGAAGGGGTGCCAAATTCTGGAGAAACCTTTATTTTCTTAGTTTAATGTATCTATTCATTGTTTGTTATTCATAACCAAAAGTTTTCTACAGATCTGAATCCTTGGGCATACACAGAATTTGAAAGGAGTAAATTATTTAAACTAAAGGTGTGAGTCATTCATCTGGTACCTGTCATGTTGCAAGGGATAATGCATTTTATTTTGTATAATTTTTTGTTTAATATATTTCCGCATGTGTAGGTGCTGAGTTTCCACTTTCTTACATTATATTAGACAGAACAGTCCCCCTCTCACTCCCAGATGTGCCTTTAGGAAACATTCAGTCTTGGCCTTCTGAAGACTATTCCCATATCTTTTCTTTCTCCTTCTTCCTCTCATCTCCAAGAATGTTTACCTGTCCTCTACACGCTATCCACTGAAACAGTGTGAAGCCCTGAATTTGGGGCATTTCCTCATTGAGTGTTGTCTTTTATCTGGGATACACAGTGTGCTGATACCCGACAAAAACATTTGATTTATACCAAAATACCATGGATCAGGCGGTGAACGCCTGAGAGGAAGAAGCTCCTTTGTAACTCTAGGTGGTAGGAGGCCTCAGAACAGATGCTTGGCTGGAAAACATGACTAGCTGAGGGATATGACCACCAGATCTTGGCAGTGGTTCAGCCTTAGGGAAACCTGGGTTTTGCAGAACTTCCTATGCTAAGGTACAGGAAGATGGCACAGGAGCCAGTGAGTCTTGGAGGAGCCATCTCTCCCGCAAAATGATCTTTTGAATGCTAAAAAAGAGAAATTCTCCTGGGGTCACATGGAATTAAAAGCATCTATCCAGAAAGCAGATTCAGAAGCAATCTTTAAGCACAAAATGAAAGGGCTCTATAATTACCATGTCTTGTTACTAAATAATCATTCCAGAACTTTCTTGAATTGCATCCCTTTTGGGGGAAGATCATATTCTAGATTTAGATTCCATAATGCAGAGTGTAGAAATAGAAAAGGGCAGTTTTATTTTATTTTATTTTTCTAACAGCTACACTGGTGGGGATTCTTTGCCATTTATCCTTCCAATAGGAGTAAGGAGAACACAGGGAATTCTTCAGTGGGGCTGCCCAGAAGGAAGGTTTTCTGAGTGAAGAGCCAGTGCCCTCACACATGGACTTGTGTGATGGATGACTCTAAGCTGAGCCACATGAAAACAAGCAGATCCCTTAGCCTTCTGTTCTCTCCACAAGCAAGCAGAAGCAAGGGAGGCACAGGTGTCCATCGGAAGGGAAGGCATGATCCTTTACCTGATGAATTACAGATGCTCACTCTTGACCATAAGAGGAAGAAGACAAAGACAGAAAAGCCAGATTCCAAGGATTACTGAAAACAGGATAACCACATTGACCCAACATTGGCTCTTTCAGTAGAAAAAAATTTCAGGAAACAATTTTGACCTAGAGAGAGACAAAAAGCAAGATACATGCTACAAAGCTAAGGAACAACTAATTCCTAAGTATTATGCTGAGGCATTGTATGGAAGAAAATCTTTTAGCAATCATCCTTTATTGGGTCAAAATTGCCCTGAAAATAAACTCACCTCAAGTAAGTACAATATACAATACCAGGAAATTAGAAGAAATAAAAAACACTAACATTTATCTACATGAACAATATGTTTTGCTGAAGTGTCTTAGGGGCCTTCTCACTGTCTCGTAAGAAAATAGTGCCATAAATGAGATTCCTTGAGTTGATTAGTTCTGATAATTTCACCTTGATTCACATAAGCATGTTACCACCACAACCCGTCTTCCTTGACAGAATAAACTATCCCCATTTTATAAATGGGGAAAGGGTTTTGACTCAGCTAAATCCACATAACAGAATCTAGGCTTTGAATACAGATTGGCTAACTTCTTGGCTCTCATGCTAAAGGGTCAGACGACATGATATGTTAGTTCCCCTTTAGTGGATGAACACTTAGGAGAAATTTCAAAGAATGCAATGGTATGCCTATAAATGGTGATATATTTATATGCCCAACCCTGGAGGATCTACACAGTGTTTCTATTTTCTTTATAATTTTGGCACACTCTTAAGAAGTACCAGACTGGCTTCCACCAAAAAGCCTTAAGTGATTATAATCTTCCCATGTTCCATTTCCTTGATTTTTCTACTCTTTTAAAAACATTTTTACATCATAGTTTTTGCCTTTGTCTTCATTTTTCTTTTTGTCTCAGTAAATTCCTTCCTATCTCCTCAGTACTTTTTCTTTTGTAACTTCTGTTCATTGGTCTCATTTCCATTTGTTATCATGTCTTGTCAATACTGAGTCTTGCAGCCTTCTCTGACCCAGCTGTCTATGTTACCAATTACTTCTGCCAGAATGCTGTCCTTTACAAGAAGTACATGAGAGATAATAGTAAGCAATGCTGATTTTATTAATTATATATGTATTTCTGGGAAGAAGGGCAATGATAAGAAGTGAAGTTTTGCAAGGCTAACTGTTCTATTCCTCTTTCCTGATTTCCAGTTCTATTTGAAATATAGCTGAGGTAGGACAAGTGAGTATTCCTCTAAGGAATTCTAACATTCAGAGGATTTTTTTACACAACCATGTAAGATTTACATCTACCAAGAGTTGCTGGCAACATTTTATTCCCAATGTGGGGAATACCGAGAGTTGATAGAAGGAAGAATGGTGGGTCCAGAGGCATTCCCCTCTGAAAAGCCAGAGAAAACAAGGATGGGTACTAGTCTTAGCAGTAGAAAAATAAAGATCTTCTTTCATGTGGGGAGTCACCCAAGTAGCACAACGGCTTTAGACTCTGAAGTCACCTGGAACAATCTGGAGGAGGTGGCAGCAAGACTGTTTACCTGGGCCCTGTGTTCATGCAACTGAGCAGATTATGGCTAGCCTGGGTCCTCTGATAACCTATTACAACTGGAATATATTCCAGAGAGAAATGCAGACTAACTAGGTCCCAAGTAAGAATCATTGTGTATTTTAGTATTTGAAAAAAGTATGAAGTACTCAGATTGCTGATGTGTTAATTTTCCATTCAGCACTTTCAACTGGACCGTCCCATTCTTAAGCTGGCTGGCCATTGTAGCCCTCTGTGTGTTCACAGTCATCCTGTACTGCATTCCGCTCAGATACATTGTCCTTGTCTGGGGTAAGTAAAGCCTCCCCCACTCCTCTAAACTGTCTTAGCTGCTAGGAACAAACTATGTTTAAGAGATGAGTTATACTGTCAGCGGTTCCCTGTATTTATGGTCATGAAGCTACTCCATGATGAAAGGAGACAGGTCAGTTAAAAATCACAACAGTATAAAGATTTAGGTCTACCTGCAAAATGTATTTTTCTTATCTGGCACACTAGGCTTCATCATACTATAAACATGTTAGCTGTGCAGATTCTTCATATATCAAAGTGTAGCTTTGTCTAGATATCCCTCTGATTTATTTTCACCATTGATATACAAACAGAGGCATTTCAATCCTTTCAATCCATATGGTGCATTTAGGAAAATATGCTTTTCTTGCTGTTGTATTTTATCTTATGGAAGTATATGTAAACATGGTACTATACATGGCTGCCTGTTTAAGAGGTCACCTTTAGCATTCGGGAAAAGGGTCCTCGGTACTTGCAGGTTCCTTAGGAACAAAAAGATCCTTTTATGTGTACTAAACAAGAATGTTTCTATGAAGACCTACGTTAAAGGTGGTTTTTTTCAGTCCTAATTTTTAATGCAACTATGCTGCATGCCAACGATTCTTATGCACCTGGGCTTCATTTAGGAGACTGTCGGTTGCAGCATTCTTCTTTTTTTTTTTCTTTCCTGACAAAATTCTTGGTTTGGAAAACAATTTTCAGTCTCTAGGATCTACTATAACATTAATAATATATAAACAAGACTGGGTAGAAGAATTCTCTACTTACCCCTCACCCGCTTACACATACACCTAAGATTGCTAAAACATATCAAATACAAAATGCAAAGAACCAAAATGAGTCTCAGCTTCGGAAAGCATGTGCTTACACTGAAAGCAAAATTCTTTTTCTTTTTAAGGCTTTTGAAGAAATATATTGGAATAAAGTGAGTTCAAGTCTGATGACTCCAAGCCCTCAACTTTTGAAGATTACTATTTCCAGTAATAGTCTTTTTGGCCCAACTTGCCATATACTGAGGAAGCCCTCTTACCCCTTATTATCACTATAATTACCCTTACAGTCTGGGTGAGAGGTGGGGGAAATGGTAATTATTTTTTCCTTTCCTAATTTCTATAATTCAAAGAAATTCAATTTAGCCAGCACTTTCATTATATAAGGGAACAATAATTTCTACTACGTTCTTGCTTCCTATTGTATGTTCATCTTTTTTTTTTCCTGTTAGATGCTGCTTTACAGAAAAAATTAGGGTAGAATATCATGTGTGGCGGTTTATTAACTCGAATCTACCTTGCCTTGGCTTGGGGAATCATCTCTGTTGCAGCAGGTGGTGGTGAATGCCCTGTTCTCCCAGGTTCGCAGAAACTGGAGCCCAGGGCAGACATCTAGCTGTGTAACCTGCAGTGCCCTCACTGACTAGCTGTCTTAAAAGTAATTTTGCAGAATGTGTTTGGGCCTCTTGTTTCATCAAACAAAATAAAACAAGAACAGTATTCCTTTAGTGGTAGGTGATTGCTGAAATATTAGCCAGAAATTTAAGACATAGGTCTTACATGAGGAGACAGACCAAAATCAAGATTCCAGAAGTTTATTCTGCATGAACTCCCTGAAGAGGAGGCAGGATGCTCTAGTTTATGGCTCAGTTTTTACCAATTTGTTGATTTCATGTAAACGTGTTTGTTTATTTTTTTTTTACAAAGTTGGGGGCAAACCTTTTCATTTCAGGTTTGAAAAAAAAAAACATCATGTGTCTTCTAAACATTTAGCTGGCATAACAGCAGCACACACCCCCACCTCCAAAAAGGTGCATCTTTTGGAAAAGGGGAAACCAAATAAGTTAGACATCTTGCCTTAACAATCTTAACCCAAAAAGTAGGAAAGCAAGTTTCATCATAAATGAAACACTCAAGCAAGGCTTCTAAGTAGACTGTAACACAGGGGGGAAAAAAAGCCAGATATTGCTAATTACCCCCAGGGCACCTCCTTTATTTCCCACATAGAAAGCCTTTCCTGCTTGGAAGAAGCTACTGAAGTACAAAGTGAAAAAGCAGCAGCTGAGCTGGGAAGGAGGAAGAAATGAAGGAGAAAAAAAAGGAGAGGGAAAAAATTGGGTGTACTGGTTCACTGAGTCATTGGCATACAAATTAGATCTTCAAATTACTACAACACTTTTGACAAAAATGTGCTTTGTTTAACTCCAACTTTGTTTCAGGCATCAATAAATTTACAAAAAAGCTTCGGAGTCCATATGCAATTGATAACAATGAACTACTTGACTTCCTTTCCAGAGTCCCTTCAGATGTACAAGTGGTATGTAGGTTTCGTTATTATTGCTATTTTAATGTAGTGTGGTACTGGGTTTTAGCTTTTATATCCTTCTTATTTCAAAGGCTTTAGAAGAGCTGAGTAAAATTAATAAAGCCTGTGTAGCAGATTTTACCAGTCAGAAATTTAGCCTACTTGGGGTGTTATCCAAGAAGAACTTAGACAACGGGAGAAAGAGCAGCTGCATAAAGAACCTACCAGAGCTGTTAGGGAAGATCCTCCTGTCCAAGTTAGTTCAGCTGGAGTTTGTGACGGGGTGTATGACCTGAGGGGAGGAAACAGGAATATTAGATGATGAAAGCAAAATATGCCAGTGGACATTTAAGAAAAAAAATCTTTCCAGAATTTGCAAGAATTACAAGTAAGTTTTAAAGAAGTATATCTTGGAGATCAGTGAGGAGAAGAAAGCTGACTGCTTACCTCAAAAATCCTTTGGAATCCTTTGAGGTTAATGCCCATTAACCATCAGCTGTTTTCAAAATAAAAGAAGGTTTGTTTGTTTGTTTTTAAATTAAAATCCTGAAGCTGGGTTACAGTGATACCTTTTTCATTTGCTATGACATGACAGTGGCCTGGATGGAGATTAAGACTGTGTTAAACACATGATAAATTGTAAATACACGATAAATTGTAAAAAACCATTATCGAGCCCTTTAAAATCGATGTAGATGGTTTTGCTTTTAATGTAATGTGTTACAGACAGTGACGACCATTACTAAAGTTCACATCAGGGCTCCATGTAGTTTCCAACAGGATTTCCCTTATTCTTGCTCTGTCATTCTACTGCTTTCTGCATCTCAGCTGCAGATCCCATACAGCTTCTAGAATGAGCACTTTCTTCCCCCCAGCACAGTCTCTCATTCCTTTGCTTTTCCTTTCTTTGCCAGAAAGTGGCCACCTGACCAGTCTTCCTCTGAACTCTGTTTAAACAGGTGCAATACCAAGAACTGAAACCAGATCCTTCTCATAGCCCATATAAAAGAAAGAAAAACAATCTTGGCTAGCCAGCTTCCAGCACTGAGGAGACCAGCATCTGTTTGGGAAGATAAAAGAAAAAGCCCTCAGCCTGAGCAGCATTTCCTTTCTTTCAGATTTTTATTTATTTTGCCTTTTTATCATGATCGAGAGAATTTGTAAATAGTGTACAAAGGCATATGTCTTTGAAAATATACTTCTATTGTACAGACTCAACTTGATAAAGGTTTTGCTACTGCTGTGTGAAAGCCTTGTTAGCTGTGGAAAATAATATAACACACTGAAAGAACAAATATAAGAATGATAACACTGGAAGATATATCCTTATCTAATTACAAGTGGATTACTCACCTGTGCTCTGATTAAATCTACATCAATTGTAAATGTCAATTTGATTTTAATGTTTTTTTTTTAATGTGACTTTTTTATCTGAAAAGTAATCCATTACAGTTTTCTATGTTTTATACATTTCAAAAGGGAGGGAAATACCAAAGCCTAAATAATGGAATGGATGCATTTCAATTTAACATATATTCTGGCTTTAGATCCCGACATTCACTCCTGTGCAAATTACTTAGGTATGACTAGGCTGATTTTAAGCTAATAAGTGAAGGTACATTCACTCCCTCAAGAGAATCAATACTCAGAAGGTTAGAAAGTTTTCTTTATAGAATTTCAATCATTCCATCTAAAACCTTAAAATCTCTACAGGACTACACAACATAAATACTGCCAGTTTATAAACGATTGCCTATCTGAATTTTTATACCTACCACTTTAATTTATACATAGTTAGCAAATTAGCAACCCAGTAAGTACAGTTATCAAAAATACTAGCAAACTACATCCATATCGCTTTTGGTGTCAGATTGTATCTGTGCATCTAAAAATATATTAATACTCAAGTGCTCTCAGAAAAAAAAAACACTCTGCTTTCTCATTAGATTACTGAAATGCTTTAATTCATACTATGATTTTGTTATTAGTGTGAATTTTAATGTAGAGAATTCAGTGTGCTAAGTGATATGCCAGTGCTTCACTACATTCATTTATTAAAAAAAATCATTCTTGATTATGCATGAAAACCTGTTTTGTAAAATAAACTGCTTGGGGGTGGTGGTTGCCTTTATCAATGTTTCACTATTATCATAGAATCTATACTTAAAAATTGCATTCCCAAGACTCTTAAAGTAGTTTTTGTATCTCACTCCCTGGTATACTAAGGGAGCATAACTGTGGAAAAAAAATAACTTGGTTGGTTGAGAATGTATTACTTCCCTGACTTGGTAGGGGATTACACTCAGTTGAAATTGCAGCAGACAATGCTTTGCACTACTTTATTAATAATAAACTTGGATAGGGTAAAAGTGAGGGTTATACTGGAAAAACTATAGAAAAGCTAAAAGAATGTATATTTCACTCTAAAGAAAGATTCTTTAACAATAAGTGTAATCTCATTGAAGCTGATTTTTAAAGTATTTTTATTTTAGAGATAAGTTGTTAAATACTATTTCTTATAATAGAACTATTTTGATCTGTTTATATACTATGCTTGAATGTCAATTAAATTCCCTTTCTACAGAAAGGCTTTGACCTCAACATGCTTTATTTAATGTATGTTTAAAATGACATGCTTCAGCCCGCATACCATCACTGTTTGTTGCTAAAAACATAATGTTCCATGAACATGGTGTTACTACACAAAGTTTATTGATGAGATAACTGTTCAATTATACCTTATGTGAGACTTTTATGTTCTGTGCTGACAATGTGTACTCAAATGTCTATAAGCCTGATATTCTACAACCTCAGATGTATCTAGTGGATAGTAACCATTAACAGATGACTAATTTGTTTGTTTCACTGTATCAAATTTCAGATGTTTAGTTCAATGGTAATGTTGACTACACATTCACTGCATTAAATACAAAAGACAATAATCTTTCCCATGTATAATCAGCACTCTTTTTTTTTTTCCGGTGGTTCAGAGATTGATGAGGGATTGTGTGCATATTCTTAAAAAGTATATTTCACTTGGAGAAATACAGATTTGGTTTAAACAAACAAGGCTTTTTCCTGAAACTCTGACTCTTATATAAAAATACCTCTGGGGGGGTGAGCATCCAATGAAATTAGAGGAATAAGAACTAGCTTGAGGCACAAAAGTGATATTCAGGGAAATCTTCATTGCTTTTAGAAACTACTACATTCACAGGCTGAAAACAGCATATGTATAGTTAAAATCTTAACTATTTATTTCCCCTTCTCACATAAGGTACAATTCTGTCTTGAGAGCTGCCTGACTTGCCTTCATTTTGAGAGATTTGTGATGTAAATATTTCAAGTTATCTGATGAGACTGAATATCACTCTAATATCTACTTGGACTGCTAACATTGTAGATGTTGTGAACTATTATATTCCTTTAGTATCTTTTAGTAAATTCACTGAGTCATTATTCATATTCTAAACTATTACTGCCATTAGTGGTGATAATTCATAAATGCATATTTGTGCTTTTTAATTCTTTCCCCACTTATCAAAAATAACATAATAGTACTTCTCATTCATTCTGGTACTGTTCCAGACTCAAACTGATTGATATAGGTTCTGTAGGAATTCCAATTTTTTAACATTCTATATGCACTAGGATAATCTGAGTTGGGAGATTCTTTAAAGGACTCTGTGATATATTGAATACCAACTGTATGACCCTGTTATAGGCAATGGTCAAAGCAATGATTGTATATTAAAATCAAATCTGGAGTTGCAGTGAGAGCCAAATTTAATTGATACATTTCTAAAAATTATCTTCTTTTATAAAATTTTTAATCTGTATTTACAAGTTAAGAAAAACTCAGAAGTAAACTCTTATCTAGGGACCACAGGAGATTTTTTTTCCACTTTCATCTCATATATAAGGTCTCCTATGCTGAAAGTAGTCAACATTTGTATTAATGTTATTCAAAGGCAGTAATTTCAGCGAATAAACTTGTTAAATGGGCCTAAGTGTTTTATAATGTTGGCTCAGCATTAAGAACAAAAAGGTATAAGGCAGTTATACCTTTTTGCTCCAGAAATACAAGACAGCTACCATTATACTTCTTGAAAAACATCTCAGGTATTATTAAATTAATACTTGCTTAAATCCTGGGGCTTTAAATGAATAGCGTGATTTCACACACTAGTGTGAGTGTGTGTACAGATGTCTATTCATTGGTTTGATTAGGGTATCTAGGATCGGCCTTTTCCAATTGCTCAGTCAAGTATGAATTTAAACCAGATAGAAAATAATGTAGTAAATTCTTTCTTAAAATAGTGTCATTCCTTTCAATTATAATTCTTTTTCCTGGGATGATTGGTGTAACTGAAAGAAAACATTATTTTTTTCTTTTTTTTTGGTGAAAATGTTACCCTCTGGTACCTCAGTTTCTTTTATATAGTGGCAATTTGTATAGAGGCAGTCACATCAGATTTATTTCAGCTGAGTGGCTAAAGTTTGAGAAATACTATTGAAAAATCTCATTAAAAAAGAATAGCATGCAAATAAAAACTATCAAATGTCCAAAGCAATCACATAATGTAGAAACTAAAGAGCACCATGAAAGGTTTGCTGGAACTTGATTCTGTGCTTTTCAAAGGAGGGATCTGGGTTAAGAATCAAAAAATAAAAACAATCAAATATTGTAAATGATCTCGAATGAGTTTCAATTTATTGGGCTCTTCCCTGACATTCTAAGCTTTAAAAAAACAAAAACAAAAAAAACAAAAAACCAAACAAAAGTATTCTATTACATGCACAAGCAGTAATTTTGTCAAGACAGGTTTTTAAATTTATATGATTATCCGTACCTCCAAATGTCACTGAAAAATTATTACTCCATTTTTAAAAAAGTAAAATACACTGCTGTTCTGCTTTAGTCAATTAAGTGTTACTATATTAGGTAGAAAGATTTCTTTCAAGGAAAGTGGAAATGGTTTAGGTAAGTAGCTGTGCCTAAGTTTTTTCAGTATGTAGCAAAATTACAATTGCAGTGCAATTATCCCCTACTACAGATTCTTCAATATTCCTTCCAAAGAAAAAAGGAGTGGCCAACCTGAGCCAATGAGTGAACCTGAAAACTACCTTATTTTCTCTGGAGGAATACATTTAAGGAGATCCTGAGGCCTGGCTGAGTGGAACTAGTGCTCCCACTAGTGAAGAAAGATGATAATATAGGTTCAGTTTCACTTTCTAGTCAAAGACAAGCTCAAAATGGCTTGAGTCCATTTGAGGGATTTTATTTTGCCAGAGTTCAAATGCTGACAGGTTTGGAGGAAATGCTAAATTCATAGAAAAAGCACAGCTGGCCCTCACTACTCATACTCGTCTTTTGCATTATTGGAGACACCTAAGAAGAGTCGAGCATTGTTACACAGACAGCTGGACCACAGCAGAGAGAGGAGGGGAAGCAAATGACAATATTTGTCCCAAGCTCAAAGAACCCTTTTTAATAAAGCTATCAGAGAACTGAAACCTTATAACAATATGCCCCACAAAACATTCTTTTCTAGAGTAGTAATTATGAAAAGTCAAAATCTCTGTGTACCTTGTAACACTGCAACCATGGAAAACAATTTATCGGTGTCAAGAACTAATAAGTTCTTAGAAAAACTTTACAAAGATAGAAATGTCTATTTGCTATTATACATGGCGGAGTATGTAATTTTGTCATCTTTGTTTTACAACAGAGGAAGTAGCTAACAATTTCTGAGCAAAAAACCACAATGGTATACCTACCTCTTACGTTTGGCCTAAAACTCTTACAAACTTCAGGTTCCATTAACAGAGAACACAGCAAAGAGTAAGAGGGTCTTTGAAGCACATGAGAAGCCATCCAGAAAACACTGTACGTATCTGACAAAGGAGTTCTTAAACAGATTATTGTGATGTTCATTATTTGTGTGAAATTGCTTGACATCACTTTTAAAAACATTCATTTTCAGAAGAGAAAAACTTTTTAAAAATCAAAACATACAGCACTTGGTAATTTAAGCAAGAACAAAATACTCTGACTTATGGGTTGGGGTACCAAGTATTCACCATCCAATCTTGCACACTGTGATGCTACGTATTTGATACATAGTACATTTAATGCATATTTACTTGATTTCCCTCCCATGACTGTGACAATAGCCCTGACCCGTAGGTAAGAAATCTTCCCCCAAAAAACAGATGGATACTATCAGGTGGTACTATAGTTACCATGTAGGTATCCAGGTTATTTATACAGAACAATTGTAAAAAGATTGTTCTGAGTTGTACTACTTAAAAGAGTACCTTACAAGAAGCTATTCTGCTGGCCTTCACAGAAGAGGTGCAAAACAGTATGCTCCGGAGAGCTGTGGTAAGATACTCTCAGAATTCTCTCGACAGAGGGTTGTATCTGTATTAATGTTGCAAATAAGTTATAAAGTGGATATTTTTTCAGATTGATGATAGAAGAAAAAATTCCTAATACAGTAGTATCCTTTCAAAGCCATTTAAGGTACAATCTTTGAATAAATGTAGCTATCATTTAATCTTACCAGTTTCTCCCTGCTTTTGTGTCGAATCTGAAAAGTCTCACCAGAGAACAAGTAATTCTTCAGGTCCCATAAATACTAAAATCAGAAAGTAAAGATATGTTACATGTTATGACTCCACATGGTATCCACATGAGCAAGTTTAATCTTTAGCAATTTTAGAGTACTACAAAAGAGTAAAGTTCCCCCAGTTCCCACTTCGACATACTTGGGGCTCCATTTTGAAGTGTCTTAAAGCAAAGACTAGAGAAGCGTATCAGTAAAGCAGTAAGTCAGATTCACTTTCAAAAAAGGAGCACATATATAGTGTATTTTTTGAGATCTGTGTTAGATAATACTAATTATACTTTTAATTATATCCAACTTTAAATAGTATATTACAACTGTAGTTTACCTTTTAAAAATCCAGTAAGTGCCAGTTTAAATAAGGCAACTTTAGAAAAATTTCAAGGATTGATTCTTACTTAATTCAGGAGCATTACTTTCAAAATAAATTGGTTACTGGTATTATAAACAAATATAAATCATTACAAAGAAATCTGGAGAAGTGAAAAAGAAATATCCAAAACTTTTCCACATAAAGACAATCACTATAAGCAATTTTTTACTTACAATCTTTTTCCTTATGTAATTTAGATAATATATTTATGTTACTTTTTTTAAAAAAGAGAGTCTTGCTGTGTTGCTCAGGTTGGCCTTGAACTCCTGGGCTCAAGTGATCATCCTGCCTCAGCCTCTCAAGCAGCTGGGACTATAGGCATGTGCTACCATGTCTGGCTGAGAAAATCATTTTTAATAACATTTAGCTTTAATTTTAAAAATATTAGTATTAGTAAAAAATGGCATTTAGGTAGAAGGTCCAACCATTTTTAATAAGTAGCTTTCAACTCTGAGTCCATTTCCTCCAGTAACATGGCTAAGTATGAACTTAACAGTATTTTGGGGGGTGTAAAAGAACTGAAATGACAGGAAAATAAGAAATGAGATGCCAAGATTTGCCTGTGAGAAAGAACTGAGTATTACTATTCGAAACAGCCTTTTTCTCACAGGAAGACAAATACCACGTGATCTCACTTATATGTGGAATCTAGGAGAGTTGATCTCATAGCAGTAGACAGTAGAATGGCGGTTACCAGAGGCTGGGAAGGGAAAAGGTGGGGAGGCAAAGATGGGGAGAGGATGGTCTCAAGGGATACAAAGTTAGTTAGATGAACTAAGAAGAGTAAGTGCTGATGTTCTATTACATAGTGGGGCGACTACAGATAATAACAATGTATTATATTTCAAGATAATTTCAAAAGTGGGCCTTGAATGTTATCACCACAAAGAAATCATAAAGATTTAAGACAAAGGACATGCTAACTACCATGATTTTATCATTATACAATG